AATTCTAAGTTGAAGACATATCATGAAACTAATTATGTGTTTTTATGACTTGCAGAAACTTTTTATTATTTGCACCCCCCTGTTTATTTTATGCTCCCTCTATATGAAATAAGAATTTGTGTTATGATTACCAGTGAGACAACTTATCCATCAGAGACCAAATGATGTCAATATTAGTTCATTTTAATGCTCAAGATCTTGCAGCACTCCAAATCCTGTGCCAACCCTTCCCTGTTCATTTTATGCAACCTCATGTTCATATTAATGCTCAAAATCAGGCAGTTCCCCAAACTACTGTTTAGAAGGACCCAGTTAAACAGTTTGTATTATCTTTTGTTTAATTAGCCTTATAACCTGGATTTAGTAAAGCTTCATCCCCTCTCATTTTATTTCTTAAAATCTTGAGTTGTTCGCAAAATTGTAAAGTTATAATATATGGTTTATTTTAGAAACAGTAGGAGATTTTTAATCATTCTTTAATTGTCCCGTTTTTTTACCTGGACGTTATGGTAACCGAACTTTGTGGTATCACAGATCAAAACTTGTTTTACATACATATTGAATGTTTTTATCTATATTTTTATAGTCCCTAAAAGATAAATACTTGTTAAGTTTCAAAGGTTGAGAGGATATCGTAAATATAATATTTTAGAACATTGAATTTCTGTGTATTCATTGCTAGGGACGACAAAAGTGTTTTTATTCGTTTTACATCAAAAATTTGTATTGGGACAAATGACGTGTTGAAAAATGGTGCCTTAGTTTTTTGATTGATTTTGCGACAAAGTCATGCATTTCTAATTTGTTTTTTTTCTTCAAAATGAAATAGATTTTCTATTGAAAATCAAGGATTGAGGCTAAATATTCATTTTATCATGATAGAATTTCAATAAATATACTTTAGTTTGAATTATGATGTTTAAAAGATTTATATTCAAAAACACGTTGAATTGTGAATTCACAAAAGATATGTTTATTTAAAATCATGTCTTTTGCAAACATGAATAAACATATAATATGTAAAAAAAAAATTTGGTTAAAAAGTTGAATTTCTATTTTAAAGCAGTTTCATAAATCTTTTAAAAGAATAAAGAAGATAAATTACAACTTCAGCAAATTTATGACTTATTTTCAAAAGTAGATTATGGGGATTTTGCCAAGTGGGTTTTGATAAAATTGCAAAGTTGACATGGTAAACATGTAGACCAAATGTATATAATATGAAATTTAGGTAATTTGGTAAGATTTTGTCAGCTGCGTCCCTTCTCAAGAATTATCATGGTTTCGAAGGTGAAATTTAAGATAAATTATTGACATTGCTGTATTTTGCCTGGATTCTATAAAATTTAAAATGTGAAAAGTGAATTTGATAAACAGGTGGAACTTGACATTTCACACGATTTATTATTGATAAAAATTGATAAAATTTCATGTCTTTATAAGTGCTGAACTGTCTTTAGGGGGAAACTTGTGAATAATTGCAATTAAACCTTGCAAGCTTTAGTGCCATTTGATTTGACTCTAAACTATAAATTCAAAAGAAAAATAAGACAATACACACTAACAGAATGGCAAATGAATAATAAATAAAATGGACACTAAGTCATTTCAAGAGGCTAATTAAAAAACTGTTAAGTTGTAGTTGACATAGATTTTAATTCTTTTGGTCTCAACCAACTTCATGAATAATTGGAGATGCATAGAGTTATCTTTCTTTTCCTGATTCTTTTTAATTGTTGGAGTTATCCCCCATTAAATCATTTTATGGAAAAAAAAGTTATTGATTGGAGGTCAGTTTTCTCTGTGCATTCTTTTATGACTTTTAATGTATTAGGAAAGGGCCTGTTCAACCCTACCCACATATTCATGTACTTGTCCCCAACAGAAAGCTTGTCAGTGGTAATATCTTAGTCAGGCACACGTCAGACAGGGCATATCTGCCCCATTCCTCCCTGAATGATTAAGAGCTTGGCATATATTGAATAGACACCTTTTTATTGTTGAAGACACTTATATTTACCAAAATATGTCTTTTTATTAGTTAAGTGTTGTAGAGTTGCTGTCTCATTGACTTCTAACCCACATCTCCTTGTATTCCTGTCTTCTGTTTTTGTTGTGGGAGTGATGTAGAAAAGTCAACCAACAGCTATGTATGTGTATCTGATTGTCAATCCAATGTATATATTTGTGTGTATCATTGTTTTTTCTGAACTTTTGTCCATGGAGAGTGCTTTGTACCTGTTTAATTGCAAGGTCAGAGTTCATAGGTCAAAGTTACAATATAACCAAGGAGATCAAGCTTGTAGGCACCTTTAATCTTGTGAGTCTTACTTTTTATCTTCATTAAACGAAATTGTCCAATACTTGGCCACAGGAAGAGCTTGATTCCAATATATAGACTCACTGCCAATGGTCAAGGTCACTTTATGACATTATAGAAAAGCAACTATTAAAACTATGCAAGATCACAAAGGAATGACCCACATTGTGGTGATCTTATTAAGACATGGGCTATGGAGAAAGAGGGGGACTATTATGAATCTTTACTGTTATAAACAAAAAGGAGAATTGGTATGATTGCCAATGAAACAACTATTTACCAGAGACCTAATGATGTAGCAACTGTTTTCAATAAGATATCACTCTTATTTATTGCATTAGTATGAACTTAGCATTTCAGACAACTTTTTATAATTTGGATCAATAGATGCATGCATTTATATCCAAATTTACTATAAATTTTATATCTTGTTTGTGCATAACTGTCCTTTCATCGAAGATTGATTTTTTGTTTGCTTAACATCCAGTGGAAAATATTTCATGATAAAAAAATCCAATAAATGAATATAATGTAGTTTGAAATGTATCATCTTTTTTTTGGACAATCTCAATATCAACTCATATATTTGATTGTTAATTGTTTCATGTCCAGCAGCAAATATTTCATGCATATTCAGAACAACAAAAGCTTGATATATTTTATGCCTATTCAGGACGACATTTTTAGCTTGATATATTTTAAATTCTCAACTGTTTACGTAAAAGATTCCACCACTTTTGTTTTGTAACCAACATTATGTTAAATATTTTGTTATTTTAGTTTGTTTGTCATTTTAATTACAACAATATGCAGGGGAAACTATTTCAGAATTTTAAACAACTTTTGCAAAAACAATAGACATGTCAACTATGGACTTAAACGTTGAATTTTATGAAAGATAATTTGTGTCAAAAGGCTTTCTTTACTTCCTTCAAATTTCACTTGAAAATGCAAATTTGTGATGAAATTCTGTCATTTTCGTAGATTTGGAGACATTTTAAATTAAAACATATCATGCACTGGTGCCCTGTAGAATACTTAATTGGTGAAATTTACATGAAGGACAATTTATTAATTTCTCTAAGTTTTAAGTATGAAGTCATGCGGACTCGTTCTGAGGTTGTCATTTGTTTGCAATAATTCTGTCACGGTCGCAGATCACAAATTAATTTTAAAACAATAAATGAGCTGTTAATTTATTTCCATTGTTTTCTGACTCATGATCGTTAATTAATAGTTCAAAATTAAAATTTTCATTTTTGAAGATAATGTTTTTTGGTTTCTGTTGAACCTGTTGACCGAACAAATTAGACTTGGAGGCTTTGAATTGGTATCTTGGCATTTCAAAACCTTCGATTTGAATGCTTGATTTAAGATTTTTCATACCGCTCTTCATGATCAATCTATATATAGAAAAATAGTGTAAGGAAATTAAGGCTGATGCAGCGTATATTGGATATTTCTGTTATAAGCATAAACATTAATTTTTATGAAACAGATCTTTCTTTAAAAAAGAATTTATATGAAATTTTCTTTATAAATAATTCCATGTCATAAATTTACATTTGGACATTTCCCCCAAGACTCAAATGGTATCATATAAATGTCTGCAAATATAAAAAAATATCCAAATATAAATTTTGCCCTACTTCCCTTTTTTTCTTTCTTTCTTTCTTTCTTTTTTTTTTTTTTTTAAATTTCAGTCAAATGAGCATGCATGACTTTTGATGACAGAATATTTCAATGTTGATACATTTTAATATTAATTTGAATTAATTAATTCTGAATTTGAAATTTATGTAAGAAATGCGACAGTTTTGAAGTTAAAATCATCATATATTGAAAAATTACAGGTCCTGACAACACAACCATTGTTATATGAATAAAATTTATATTATTTCACATGCAAATGTTGACATTTAAAATTTTACACCCAAAATAAACAAGACATGTAATTGTTTATTCCTGCAATTTATGCACAATTTATTAAATTATATAACCTGCTTAATTGATAATTAATTGACAAGAAGAATTTTCATCGTTTTTAATGAGTATTAGCTCATGTGCATTTCAAAGCAGTCACCTGTTTTAATTTTCTCTGATGGCACACAATTTTAAAACCGCAATGCATATGATGTCTCAATTTATTTTTCCATGTATACTAGATAATATTTTTTAACATCTTAGCACATAGGGTTTTACTTAATTTAAGGGTGTATTTTGTTGTAACTTTGAGATGTGTAAATGTATAAGGTACTGCATGGAATATTTCTATTTAAAAAAAAATTGTATGCATTTGTAAGTATGTTATAAGAACTGTTTAATTTTTTACTTTAAATGTCTGCCTATCGAAGCTTATAGACTTCCAAGAATTAAGCAAGGAATCATTTAAGTTTGAATAGTGTGTACAAGTGTCTTGATAGTTCAACTTGACTTTATTCAGTTGAAATACCATGTACATTAAGAAATGATTTTTCTTCATGTTCTGTCTAACTTTTGTCTTAGAAATTTTATTTTTACTGCATCCAGTTTAAGGGCCTTCGAGAAGTGCATATATTCCAGTATGATATTGATATATTTTGGTTTAAAAATAGAAGACTTTACAACTTGCAGAGACAATTATTATAGTACATGTCAATTGTTTTTGCTATTCTTTAAACATCTTAGTATTTTTTTGCAGGGATCAAGCCACCAAACTTGAACAGTACCAGTAGTCTGCCACAGGAATTTACATCAGTGAAGCCACTAGCCACAATATCTAAGTCACCACTGTCAGCCAGCTCTGTCAAACATGGTTTGGCTGAATATTCTAAATATCTCAAAAGGTAAGTGATTAATGGGAGATAACTCAAACATTTTTTAATAGAAATAACGCAAGTAATATTTTGAAAACCATTCCTATTGTAAATTAATCTTAAAATAGAAAAAAAAGGTAATCTAGGATTAAAATTATATGTAGTTTTTGGATGTTTGAATTTTTGACATTTAAATAAATTAGTATCTAATTTTAATCATTACTAAATTATAAATCGCAGTAAGTCTAATAATAAAAAAGTCATGAATACATTAAATAGAGTTTATCAAAGATCTGACATAGACTTATCCCATAAAATATGACATAAGACAATCAGTGACAAGGTTAAATGATTGGGGACAGACACATGAACTTGTCACAAGGTTAAACAGGTCATCTTCTAAAACGTAAAAAGAGATAACTTATGAAAGATGCTGTAAGAATGACAATATAAAAACTACTCCAATTATTCATTTTCTGTACATGTAATGAATTAAAGAAGGGTAATTGCCTCCAAGCAGATTTTTGAGATCAATTATGGCCATCAGATTTAGCAATGGAACTGACTTAAGACATTTTATAGACAGTTATATGTCTTACAGCCTATATACATGTACATATATGTTTTCACTGAAATACATCTTTCCTGTCAATATTTGAAATTAATTATAAAATTTCAAGACCCAGAAGCCTAAACTCAAATCATTGAAATAAAAGTAGAAAATTATTCATTATCTATCTATGAAATGAATGAAAGGGGAGATAACTCATTAAAAGTAGATTTTTGAGATTATTTTTTATTCATCAGGTTTAGCAATGGAACTGACTGTAAAGTTAAATACTGCAAAGATCTGGGATATCGGGAACATTATCACTGTATGGACTGTAACTTCCGAGTGTTTGTCAAAAAAGAAGAGATGGTCCGTCACTACAAGTGGCATAGGAAACGAGAAGAATCGTTACAACATGGTTTCATGAGATACAGTCCCCTTGATGACTGCAGTCAGAAATTTGGGACGTGTACACATAATGGACGACAGACACATTACCATTGCCTTCAGGTAAACACTTAATCGATATGGAATTGAAAAATTGTAAAAAGAGCATCAGTTACTAAGTTTTTAGCATGAAAATATGAAAATAATGCAAAAAAAAGTTAAGATTTTTCTTTACAGATGTTATATATTGTTTCATTTACTATATAAATTTATTTTGGTGCACCAGTTAATTCCTTTTATGAACTGACATGCATATCATTACATTTAAAACAGTTCTCAAAGAAAAGAAGAAAAAAAAATGTAAGGAAAAAAAATCAAAAAAAGATACCTGGTTTTAATTTTGTTATGCCAGAGGAGCATTTCCTCTTCACAAGTCTCCTCAATGGCTGTCTTATAAAAAAAAGAGGTTAAAAGTAAAAAAAAATAAACAGTTCTTATAAAATACTAACAAATGCATTCATTTTTTTTTTTCAATTAGAAATATTCTACATAGTATCTTATATAAGATTAAGATAAAGTTGAAAAGCATTTAAAGCCAAAAACTCTGAAAAAGTTGTTCCAAATACAGCTAAGGATGTCTATGTTTGGGTCAGAAAAACCTAAGTGTTTCTAAACTCTGATTTACATGATGTTTATAACAAGGTCCATGGGAGACAACTCAAAGTATTTTATTGTATTTGACAGGATTGCTGTGATAAGGTCTACATTAGTACATCAGATGTACAGATGCATGCCAACTATCATCGTAAAGACTCTGCCATCATACAGGAAGGTTTTCAGAGGTTCAGAGCCACAGAGGATTGTGGGACGCCCACATGTTCCTTCTATGGACAGAGAACTACTCACTTCCATTGTCGCAGATCTGGATGTCACTTTACATTTAAAAACAAGGCTGATATGGGTAAATTGATAACTTTACATTAAAAAAAAATGCTGATAGAACTTGGTTGATAATTTTATATTTTTGTCTTAACAATTGGAATGAATTTGAATAACTACTGTAAATTCTGAAATTATTGCGTGCATTTATTATTGCGATATTTGGAGAAGAGACAAAAATGCGATTTTAATTATTGCGATTTCCTGAAAATCTGCATACAGATATATATATCAGATATCAGATTTTGAGTTCTTATTATTGCGAGACTCCCTCTGTCGCATTATTTGCATTAATATAAACCTTGCAATGATTTCTGAATTTACAGTATCAAGAAATCATTTAAATTTTCATGTTTTATTGCATCATAATTGTACTATTAAAAACTAAAAATAAGTATCAGACATCAATTCATTCATTACCTTTATTTCTTGCACTTTGTTAAATTTTCAGTATTATGATATAAATATTTTACTCTCGTTGTTTATAACAGGTATTCTTATTTCAAAAGATACAATTTTCAAACTTTCCAATCTGATGCAAAAACATACTGATTGGAGAAAAAATAAAAACTAAAGGGGGCTTTCTGTAAAAAAGTAGTTAGAAAAATAATGAGAGAACTGTATAATATTTTATAAGATGATATGACCATTAAATGAGTCACCAAATGTATTAAATGTCTCCAATATAAAAATGGAAAGACACAATATTAAAGTAATATTTGTAATTGTAGGCATTTATTGTCTAGGGGAGATAACTCTAATTATTTTTGATTATGTAAAAAAAATAGATTTATTTAAAAGAATTCTTTGCAAAATATCACAAAAAAGGATAAGTCACAATTTAGTCCAACTTAGACTGTCTTCTAAAAAATAGTTTATGGTGTATGTAAATACAGGACAGTTAAAAAAAATCAAAACCAGAAATACAAAAATCTTTTATCGAATTTGATGCTTAATTTTACAATGGAATGTCAGATTTTGATATATGATATTTTATTTTTTTGTAGAAAAACACAAGACATACCATCAGAAAGATGAAGTTTTAGCTAAAGATGGATTCAAAAAGTTTATGAAATATGAACACTGTGGATACATGGGATGTCGTTATTCAAAAGTCAGCAACCACATACACTGCATAAGACAAGGTTTGTATGGATGTTAGTATTCTAAAGTCAATAACCATATACAATATGATATATTGGAATCGTTCTTAAATACCATAAATTCAGAATTTTTTGTCTGCACTTATTATTGCGTTTATTGAAAAATAAACAAATATTGCAATTCAGGAAAGGCTGCATACAAATTATTCTATCAAGATTAAAATTTTAAATTGCAAGTTGTTATTTTTGGGAGAGTTGAGCTGTTTTGCATAAATAAAAATGTCGCAAAAATTTCTGAATTTAGAGTAGTTAGAACTGTAATATTGTGATTCTTTAGTAACCCTTACCATTTGGGTTTAAATAAACAAAATTGTTTGTATAATTTGATAAATTAGTATAGTATCAAACCAAAATCACTTTGATGCAGATTTTAAATTACTTAGGAGAAATGATATTTATTCAATTGTAATCGTTCATATTAAATCAGGGAAGAATATTTGATTTCAAGAGATTTTCTTTAGCTCTTCAGAAGATTTGTTGAATTGAAAAAATCTAGATATATAGAAAGAACATCTACATTTTGTTGTGATGGAGGTTTCAGTTGAAAAAAATCAAATTGATAAAGTTTAATTAATTTTCAGAAGTAAAAAGAAACACATGTTTTATACTGAAAACATATAAAGATAAGCTGTAATAAAACTTCCCTTAGGAGTCTCCTCTTCTCAGTTGGAAAGTCACTTTCTTCAGAACGCTTTACAGCTAAATTTGTATATTTTTATCTTTGATTTTAAGCTTAGGTGTTTTATTAGATAATTTTTCATCCACCCCATAGGTGACTTTTTAAAATGTATATAATTTAGGAAAAATATCTATCTAATTTTCAGCTTGCAACTATGTGCTTCATTCAACTGCTCAGCTTTATTCTCATAAAAGGAAACATGAAAGAAGAGAATTTGAGACAGCATACCAGAAATACAGAGACGGTAGCCAGGACATGATGGATCCTATGGGAGACAACTCCATGAATAACTCAACGATTTACTCAGAACAGGATCTCTCCATGGACTCGATGAATGACAGTTTCCCACCCCCATCTCAGGTTATGCAGGAGTCAATGTTGCTGCCGGTGACAATCAAACGAGAGGCGCCAGACAGTGCCAGCTCTGGAGATTCAAAGAGATTTAAATTTGACAACTTGCAGGATGACAGTATGTCCGACCAAATGAGCTTTAAATCAGAATCTGAATCATTTCATGACGAGTCTTCAGTCATTGAAGAAAATTCTATACTGACGGAAAAGTCATCTTCTTCTATTGTCGAGGAGTATGGGACCAAAATATCAGGGGAACAGTTGAACAGTTCCCTGACTCTACCTATTCCATCTGTTGCAGATGATTCAGACATGAAACCAGTAGAAAAACCACCACAATTCTCAGTACCTCTTCCTCAGAATAAACAACCTGTGTACATGACAACCTCAATAGCACCTCAACATCTCTTACCTCCAATGTCAGGGAGGACACATGATAAAAGAGAAAAAGATGAGTCATGGAAAAGCTACCTCATAAGGTAAACAAATTATTTTTGTTTTTTTTGCAGGGTAAGGGAAGTAACTCAATTATTGTTTGGAATTTAATACTGATTTTGTTGAATCGGCCTTACACAGATTTTGACTCTATTACTAATATATAACGAAAAAGCTTTCATTTTGATCCAAAATCATTTATAAATTTTTATTTCAGAAATATGAAATAAAAATATTTTAAATAGAAAAAAAAATTATATTAGACTTTGAGAATTTGTATTTATTACCTGTATAAAAAATGAATATTATCAAATGCCTTAATCATATGATAAAACTGTGAAGGGAATGACCACCTTTTTACACTTGATTTAATGTCACAATATGAAAGAAAAATTTGTACAATAGGTTAAAATTTGAATAAAATGGTATGTCAACTTGTCATTACTATTGAGAGATATATTAATGTACAATGAATATATTCACAGATATACAGCCAATGACCCTTGTAACTCCAGATGTCAGTATTTATATAAAGACCACTACCATTGTAAAGTTGAGGGATGTCTGGTTCTATTCAAGTCTAAAGATGGTGTTAGAGAGCATGCTAGGTATATATTTATAATGTCTATTTTTTTCTGAATTTTTAAGCAACAATTTTTGTTTTCTTAGCAATTTGACATCTTATTTCTTGTAACTGAAAAATTCACTTATAGTACTGGTATTTGCCATATTGAATTCTTTGAATCTAACATTTTCAATTATTTCTTTTGAATATAATTGCATGAACATCATAAGTAAAACAAATAAAAAAAAATGTTATAAGAAGATGATGTTATTTGAATTTAAGGGAAATTACACTACCTATGAGTTTGCGTGAATGTTGTACAAACTTTGAGACTCCTTGAATTGCAAGATACTGTGAATTCATTCATGATCATGGATATCAATGTTCCTTGGTTGAAGAAGAAATAAGTTTTTTTGGTTCTGCCAAAATTTGTAAAAAATAAACAAGCCTTTAGAAAATGTGTACTTCGTTGAACATTTAAATTTGAAGCTTCCCTTTACACACGAAATTAATGAAAATTTGTTCCCCATGAATAATAATGAATCCACAGTAACTGAAATCTATAACATTCACTAGAGAGGTGTTTGTATTTGTCTTATATTGACTCTGTTGTTACTTTACAGGTTCCATGAATTACAAGACCGTATCACCCCAGTAGCTTACACTACGTATGAACAGTTAGAGATGTGTTCTGATGGGTGTGAATTTAATCTGAAGGAAAAACATTATCATTGTATTTGGGTAAGTTCATTTTCACTTTGATTTCCAAGGGAGGTAATTTAATATGTATGATCATATTGTCATTTCATTTAAAACCAGATAGTTGAAAAACAGCTGAGAAAGCAGCCTGTTAATGAAGGGCATCCAAAAATAAAAACATTAGTATGTTAAAGTAAATCTTGATTTTTGTTAAGTTTTTCGCAAATTATATTAATTTACAGAATAACAGATTTTTGTTTTCCCTTTTAATCACTGTGTGACATTTGGAATAAAAAATTGAAAATAAATTGTCTTTGTTTAATTGATTGATTGATTGTTGTTTTCTTAATGTTCTTCTTTGTTTAAAGAAAGCATTAGTTTGCAGCAATGTTTAATACCTGATATCTTAATTTTTTAATCAATGAAAAAAATTGAAAAAATGTTCTGTATTAAGGGGTCAAGTTTGATATTCCAAATTTAGAGGTCAACATATTGTCTTCATCAATACACAAAACAAAGTACTTTCCTTTATGCCATATAAATGTATCATGTGCCAAATCGAACTTTGTCAAGAAAAAATAATTATTGTTATGTGTTTATAAATTTTATGATTTTCTATATTTCAGACTGGGTGTTCCCATGTGGTGCCACATTCTGGTCCTACATTTGGCAGACTAGAACATTACAGAATACACGAGTATGCACGAGCTTCTGCTGGAAAATCTTATAGACCCTCTTCCTGTAAAAATGATGATGGATCTCCAAAGAGGAGAGGGCGTCCACCTAAGTATCCTAAAAATGATATCCCAATCATACCTAAAGTAGAACTGTCTCATGAAGAGATTGAGGAGTCAACCAAAGGACTAGAGGTCGATAATTATGGAATACCACAGGTTATCAATGGGTTCAAAATTTTCAAGCAAGGAGATATATGTCCTGACGAGTTTTGTATCTATAGACTGCAACAGCACTACCACTGTGCTCGTCCACGATGCCATCAGGCAACGGATAGAATGGATGTACTCAATCTTCATGCCAAAGACTTCCATAGCTTTGTAAATATCATGGAGGGATTTGAATTTTTTGATAGGAACGTGAACTGTCGTAGGCCACACTGTCACAATAATAAAGCTAACAGACATTTTCATTGTGTTCGTCCTAAATGTGATTACTCATTTGTAAGACATAGCACCATGCTTCAACACGACAAGAAACATCAAGCGTCAGAAATGGGCACTGTTATTCAAACATCACCCATCCCAGATGTACCAACATCGTCTGTTGTATCCAAAGCTATCGCTCATAGCCCAACGATAAAGACATCAGGTACATTTTATCCATTATCTGGTCTCTCTAAAGGTGAAGGTATTCAGATGTCCTCGGTCTTTTCTGTGCAGCCAATGGTATCATCTTCAATTTCTGGTGGATTATCATCGTCTACGACTTTTACTCCCATCGCTGTTCCAACCTTTGCATTATCAGGTGTACCATTACTATCTCCTGGTATTGGAAACTCTGTGTCGCTTCAGTCTGCAGTAAAACTTCAATCTCCAACGGTAACCAGTACCATAACACCTTTGGCTGCAGCACCTCTCACTGTACTGTTACAACAGAAGGGCAATAACCTGCCTCCCCAAGTGTCATGGCCGTTGCTTAGAAACACCATGCATTTTCTAGCTCAACAAAACTGTGGTCGTCCTTTCTGTAAGTTGAAGAAACGTGACCATTATCATTGTACTGAATGTAATCAGGCCTTTTCTGATCCAGCTCGATTACGTGCTCATGTAAGCAGACATGGTATTAAACTAGCCAAAACTGAAGGTATTACACATGGCCTAGTCAACATTGCTCCAAAACCTGAGAACATGAACTGGAATGTTACTCCTGTCAAAACTGAACCGGCTCCCAGTTTGGAAGATGGAGAAAACACAGAGGATGCTGAATCTTCACTCAATCTAAACCCAAATATATTTTCTACCATGATAGCTAAAGCTCAAAAAGCTCACAATGAGGTCACAGACATGAACGAGAATTCAAATGATGAGGACGAGGGGAGACTCGTCATTTCTGAACTGGAAAACGAGAGCGATGATCTAGATCAGAATGAAGCACAAGATCTCAGTAAATGGTCTGGTCGTAAGCGCAGTGCACCAAAGAATCTGGACTTTGTGGATACAACTGTCGTAGTAACAAAAACCAAGAGGACTAGCATTAGTCCTAAAAGACTGAAAGATGATTCCATCCCGAATGGTTACATACGTATTAAATTCAAGGACGATTGTGGGTATGCAAAATGTGCCTATAGATCAGGGATCACTCATTTTCATTGTGCTAGGGAGGATTGTGGTTATAGTTTCAGTGATCGATCTCGTCTCATTCAGCATACGTTACGACACGAGAGGATTGACAGTCTGACCGGTGGAGAAATGCAGCAATATCGCATGAACCAGGACTGCCACCGTTCCTCATGCGAGTATGAAGGGAAAGCATCTCACTTTCACTGTCTCAAATGTGACTATAGCTGTACCGATTCTAGTAAGGTACTCACTCATCGTAAAAACCATGCAAAAATGGAAAGTATTAACTCTCAGGGCTTTCACAAGTACGGTATCACAGAAGATTGTAAATTCTTTGCTTGTCAGTATTCTGGCAAACAGAGCCATTATCATTGCTTGAAGTCAGGTTGTAACTTTGGAGTGTTGGGACCAGCTCAGATGGCCTCGCATAAACTTAAACACGCTGATGAATCTTTTTAGAGATAACTCTTGTTCATGTCATCAGGTGTATTGTTTTGTTTGTTAAACTAAAGCACACTGATGAAAATTTTTTTAAGAGAAGTTTATCTCTTGTTCATGTTATCAGGTGTATTTTCTGTTTGTTTTTGTTTTGATCATTCCAGATTTATACAATTTCATGTGGCATATTGTCATTTTATGTGATTTTTTACACAAAAAAAGTGCACTTCACAAAACTGCTTAAATCGTTTATGCAAATTTCTATTTCAGTCTTTCTAATTTTATTTTTATCAAATGTTCCATTCCATGAAGACTGCTGATAAATATTTATATGTACAGAGTAATGTGGATTCCTTATTATTTGTGCGGTACCCATTTTCATGGATTTCGTTGACAGAGGTAACCCCTATTTTAAATATTTAACGAAGTATAAATTTTCTTTAGGCTTGTATGCAGATTTCCTCAATCCACAACATCAAATATCCATAAAAATACAATTTTCCTCAATCCACAAAAATTGGTACCCACAAAAATAAATGAATTCTTCATATTCAGATTTTTTTTTCAATGACACATTCCAATTTTATATTTACACAGAATGGAAACCATCATATTCAGATATTCATTTATTTTGCAAATTATTTTTTGTACACAGAAATATTTATATAACAAACATTCCAGAATTTTTTGTATAACCCTGTAGATTTTCGAATTTTTGAAAATCGAACCCATAAAATATTGTAGGTAATCTTATCTGGCATTTAACATTTCCATTTCTGGTGGGTTGGTTTTTAGTCAACACAATTAGTTTCATGATATTCTTTAGGAATCTTTATTAGTTTTAAGGTAATTTTTGTCAGTAAGATCTAGTCTATCTTTTGAAAAAAGTCTTTAACTTTTTACATAGATAAGAATTGTAAATCTTCACTCAGATTTTATTTTATTGAAAACTATGCAAAATTTATTTTACAGTAATAAAAAATTGTTTCAAATATGATATATAAAATTTATATTTCTTGCAAAAAATATATTTTTATGTGTGGGGAGAATTCTTCTAATATCACTAAGATTTTTCTTTCCTTTAATTATTTTTATAAAATGATGTATTTTGAGTTTTTGTTTTAACCTGTATTTTTTTTTATTTTTGAGAAAGAATGATAATGTAGTTCTTTCAATGGGTTATTAAGTATTCAGAAAAGCTATTTAATTCTTTGTACATAGCTCCAGATAAAGATTGCAGTGTTGAATAATAAAAAGAAACGTTCACTTTCTTTAGTTTCATAGATAAAACAGATATATATATATATATATATATATATATGCAGTATTCTTTAAAATCAGTATTTGTCAAATCGTCAAGTCCCATGTATATTAAAAATTAAGTATATGTTTCTTTTAAAGGGCTTTTCCATTAAACAAATGATGTTGGGTAGAAAGGACTTCTAACAACCACACTTCTCCCCCTCAACATAAACATTTTGTTTGAATAATTTTGCAAACATCAAATAGACAAATCACCAACATCCCTATGTCCAAAAATGAAATTCCCTTTCTCCCCTACAACATTCACTTTAATAGAATAGCCCTAATATGTATTATATTTGGAATTTAACCTTGTCACATCGAAACTATATGCACATGCAAATATGTCTTTCCTTATGCAAAGCTTTGTAAATTTATAATCCTGCTAAAAGATTTAAAAACCCCTGTTATGTAAATGTATACTCCAATTAAGGCCAAAAAAATGATAAGTGTGTTTTATGTTGCCTTGTCATCCTTTGTTTCTAGTGCTGAACTTAAATTCTGATTTTTGTAACTTTTAGCAAACAACTGTTTCCAAGTCCAGTGCTTACAGTCATAAAACTGTTGAGTAAGATTATCATACTCAGACTCAGAAATCATCCAAGCAAATACTAGATTTGTTGTTTTCAAGCATAAATTTTCACTCCGAGTACGGACAAAAGTTTTATGTCTGAAAGGCCAGATCCATGCCTAGATTTTATGTACAGATGATGATCTGTCTGCCATATTTTTTATGCTTTTGCAATAAAAAAACTCACTAATCTTGTTTTGACCAAAAAAGGGACTGTAGAGAAATATGTATTCTATTTGTTGTTGTCTGTTGTATGATGCCAGTATTTATTTGTTTGTTGAGTTATATATTTATTTATTGCACTCTATACTTTACACAGTATTAAATAATTAAATATTTATTTTCTATACCAAAAAATGTGTTTGTGCTGTAATTGAAGTTAGCAAATTTGCGGAGAGGTTTATGATTCTATGATACTTTTGTTTTTCATTTATTTGAGAAAGATATTTGTTTGAAATTAGGCCATATGAAAAATATTGATTTTTTTACTCCATACTTGTGTCCTTTTGGAAAGTTTACTTTATATGTATAACAAGTATGCAAGGTAGATAAGAATGTAATGGATCAAGTCTAATCTATCCAAAATTTGACCAAACCTGATGTTCCCTGTTCATAATAAATATTCCCTGTATATATAATCATTCTCAAATGTTTTTGAATTGCATTCAAAGAAAGGATTGAAATAACAGATATCTGAATAATAAACATGAGTTTATCTAAACACATTTTTCATATGGCCTAATATATATGTAAATATTCAAAGTTATTTATAAGACACAAAGAGTCTGGATATATTGAGGTATAAATATATGGAAATTTATGAATGTTTGTTAGTATGAACTGTAAGCATCTTAATAATTGAAAATGTCTAGTAAAAATGTGTGTTTACAACAGTGATCAACAGTAACGGGCCTGCATGGGAATAGATATTTGACAAATTTAAACAATAAAAGAATAAATTGATTTTTCAATTTGCAATGTTTAAGAAAAATGATACATAAAAGTGGCTAGACCATAGACCATAGACTCCTCTTTTTAGGAATCAATATAAAATCATATGTTTTGATAACAAAGTATTGTTACCAATCTGCCAATACTATTCTGCTAATTAGAGTTACTTTGGAAAACAAACTGCTGATTATTATTTCATGGACTGTTATTTTTTGTTGTTTGAAGTATGTGAATGTACATTTAATATAACTCTACATTAATTGTTTGTGTTGAAGGGTGTGTTTGACTTAAGTAGTTACAAAGTGTTTGGACTAATGTATGTGTGTATTCATTTTATGATGATCTTTGACATCATATTCCTTTGCATTCCATATCTACCATAGAATTAAAAAATTACAGAAATTCTTAAGAGGTGACTCTTTAAAAATGCCGATATTAAAAGAGGAAATAACTCTAAGAGAAGCTTTCATAAATAAAGTAAAAATATGTTAGGAAGTCAAATTGAAATCTGGCATATTTTATTGTATTAGACTATGCATTTACATTCAAACCACCAAAAGATCTCTTATTTATATCAAAATGAAACATTAATTTTTTTTATATTTATGTAATTACATAAAGTACATTATTATCAAAAATTGTTTATGAGAGGACATCTCATTCATACCTTATTCAGCTTTTTAAGGATGTTCACTCCTCTTGTTTTTGAATTTTGCCAGATATTCTGAATCCTCTGGTTTTATCCATGTAGTGCCATTAAACAATTTTTGCCTGCTTACCCCTACTTTTCTGTTTACAATTTTATTACATATAGTTTAAAAAGCCATATTTCAAAATCCTTAAAATCCTTTTTATTTTTTCATAGTTTTTAAAAGAAAAAGCGTGACAATGTTAAATGTATGAAAAGTCTAGAGAGAATCATTTCCTGCCAAATTTTCAGTGGCTTATATCTCGAAAAGAGCACACTGACCCTACATTTTTTCTGCTTTTTTAGTTTCTTTATTTATATACTATCAATTTATAGCAGTCTTTCAAAAAGCTTGTTATTTTGAAACAGAGGAGCCAACACCCTTAACAGTTACATGATTTGCATATTACAAAACCACCAATAATTTTGTGTGAAAGGGCATTTTGTTTGTATCTATTTTAAATGTTATGAGAAAGTTATATAGACCTGTTTTTGTTTTCATAGAAGTGTAAACAAACCATTGTAGTTCTAACAGAGTTTTCTTTGTTATTAAACAGACATTCCATAACAGCCAGGGTTGTGGAATTAAATTTATATGTGTGTTACTTGATTATTTGACCTTTTTTCCTTCAAGATATATGTAAAGGCAGGATTACCCACGAACATTCAATAACAGTCAGTGGTGGAATTAGGTGCCAATCTGTCTAAGAATATGGCAGTGTTGAAAACATTAGAAACAAAAACCCACTCAAGTTTACATTAATTTAAGTTCAAAATGTATAATGGTGCATGAACATAACATTCGTTTCCTTTTTCAAGTTATAATTTGGTTGGAATTAAAAATGTAGGGGGGCTAACTCCCTAATTTGCTATCATTCTTTCCAAAAGTAATCTAGAGATTTCTGGAATTACCAGACATCTACTTAAGACACAGACTTATTCAGGATGAGGGTAACTTCAAAAAAGGAAGGTTAGATCAGCGAGTTATTTTCTGCCATGTTTTAATATTCTTCTTAATTGCCTGATTTGTACACTGGCACTTACATAGATATGTGTTTTACATGTTTCCTGTATATTTGTTCCATCAGTTAATTTTTTATGCCCCTAGGTGGGGCATTATGTTTTTCGGTCTGTGTGTCCGTTCGTCCGTCTGTCTGTTCGTCTGTCTATCCCGCTTCAGGTTAAAGTTTTTGGTCAAGGTAGTTTTTGTCTCGCCTGCGACGAAAGTCGCAGAAAGTGAGACATAGGTATTACTATCCGGCGGCAGCGGCGGCGGCGGCGTAAACTATTTGTATAAAGCTTTATATTTCAGAAGGTAGAAGACCTGGATGCTTCATACTTTGTATGCAGATACCTTATGTTACGAACTTTCCGTCTGTCATATGTCCAATGTCCTTGACCTTATTTTCATGGTTCAGCGACTGCTTGAAAAAAAAGTTTAGTTTTTTTTGTTATGTAAATTTCTCACTTATTATAAGTAATAGGATAACTATATTTGGTATATGGGTTCCTTGCAACGTCTTCATGTCCATCAGACAGGGTTCACCTGACCTCAGCCTCATTTCATGGATCAGTGATCAAGGTTAAAGTTACGTGATTAGGTCCGTTTCTCAGATACTACAAGCAGTAGGTCAGCTATATATATATATATGTGGTGTATGGAATGATTATAAGGGATACATGTCAGTCTGGCAGGTTTCATCTGACCTTGACCTCATTTTCATGGTTCATTGGTCAATGTTAAGTTTTTGTGTTTTGGTCTGTTTTTCTAATACTATAAGCCATTGGTCAACTATATTTGGTGTATGGAATGATTGTAAGGTGTACATGTCTGTCTGGCAGGTGTCATTTGTCCTTGACCTATTTTCATGGTTCATTGGTCAATGTTAAGTTTTTGTGTTTTGGTCTGTTTTTCTAATACTATAAGCAATAGGTCAACTATATTTGGTGTATGGAATGATTGTAAGGTGTACATGTCTGACTGGCAGGTGTCATTTGTCCTTGACCTCATTTTCATGGTTCATTGGTCAATGTTAAGTTTTTGTGTTTTGGTCTGTTTTTCTAATACTATAAGCAATAGGTCAACTATATTTGGTGTATGGAATGATTGTAAGGTGTACATGTCTGTCTGGCAGGTGTCATTTGTCCTTGACCTCATTTTCATGGTTCATTGGTCAATGTTAAGTTGCTCTTGTTTGGTCCTCTTCTCAGATACTATAAGTTATAGGTCAACTATATGTGGTGTATGGAATGATTGTAAGGTGTACATGTCTAGCTGGCAGGTGTCATTTTACCTTGAACTCATTTTCATGGTTCAGTGGTCAAAGTTAAGATTTTGAGTTTTGGTCTTTTTTTCTAATACTATATGCAATAGGTCAACTATATTTGGTGTATGGAAATATTTTATGATCTATATGTCAGTCGTGCAGGTTTATTTGACCTTGACCTCATTTTCACAGTTCATTGCTCAGTGTTAAGTTTTTGTGTTTTGGTCTGTTTTTCTTAAACTATAAGCAATAGGTCAACTATATTTGTTGTATGGAAGAATTGTTAGCTGTACATGCCTGCCTGGCATGGTTCATCTGACCTTGACCTCATTTTCATGGTTCATTGGTCAATGTTTAGTATACTTGGTTAATGTTAAGTTTATGTGACAGTTGAAAAAAAGCTTTATATTTAGGACTATCAACATAATATCAATGATTAGTAAAGAAGGCGAGACATTTCAGCGTGTGCACTCTTGCTGATGAAGTTAGAGTCCAATCAACTTGAAACTTAGTACACATGTTCCCTATGATATGATCTTTCTAATTTTTATGCCAAATTAGATTTTTGACCCGAATTTCACGGTCCACTGAACATAGAAAATGATAGTGCGAGTGGGCATCCGTGTACTATGGACAGATTCTTGTTTAAAGTAGGATTACCCCAGAGACATTCTTTGATAGTCGGGGTTCTGGAATTCATTCGATAGATATGTGTGTACATGTTTCTTGTGCCTTTGGTCCATCAGCCGATATGTAAAAACTCACCAAAGATATGCAAATGAAAATGTAGGAGCACCCACATATATTCCGTAACAGTCATGGTTGAAGAATCCATTGTATATTTTTGTTAGATGTGTTTTGTACTAGAGCAGATGGAAATGTAACTACTTTGGTCTTGTGGTAGTGTGCTCTCCTTGAATGTGGAAGATCATGGGTTTGCTTCCATCAGAGTCAAACCTAAGACTTTGAAATTGGCATTCGCAGCTTCTCCGCTTAGCTATAAGTCCCTGAAGAGCAAATACTGGTTGGATTTGAGTCTGACAGAATAGTATGTCCGGGAAGGGTGACACGCATTACTATGGAAAGACAATGTTAGTTAACATGTTAAAAAAAAACACGCAGCGAGTTGGTCTTTAAACAAAGCAGGAAACTTCATGTACTTTGTATATTAAGATATTTTCATCCTGAATTTGCATGTTCTATTTGTTGCTTGACGTTAAAAAGTCATAGATCAACATACTCTCAGTCTGCCGATCTAGAACTAACTGAATATGAATGTTGTCTTTGTTATGTTGCGTTAATACATTCCATATACTATTCGGGACTGAGAATAAAGGTATAAGCACTATAAGAGTACACATCTGTTTTATAATTCCCTAAGATAAAATATGCACATAGTTTTACCTCTGGTCCGCCAACTAAATATTTACATAGTATCGTAACTCTTTGGCTTTTCTTGAAATTTATTTTTAGCTTATATGTTGTTGTTTTTTTTTTAGATATCTCATAAAATTGAGAATGAGAATCAGCATATATAGTAGCCACTTCAATACTTAATTGATAGGGGTGCCGCTGGGATTCTGATACCCCACCCTTTTCATATAATTCCGATTTTTAAAATGGTTTTTTTTTCGTATATTGCGTAGGCCGTAAAAATGTACCCTGTTCTCATATTGCTTGGGTTTCGTGTAGTGTATTGGAAAAGAAGAATACCAAAGTGTCAAAAGAGGGAAAATGTGTGGATAAAAACACAACCGGGAAAACAAAGAAAGATGACAGACGAAGAAGAATTAACAATACAAAAAATTAAAAGTACATACAGGAACCCCATCAAAACTCAAGGGTGAATTCAAGGGATTCGGGATGCTTTTTGTCATGTAATAAACTGACACTTCATATCGGTCAATCAGTTTTCCCCACCTATTCACATATTTTCAATCTGGAAAATGTGACCTATTCCAGTGGCACGTCTAATCATCGTGTATATAGAAAGTGCACCCCGGCCGAGAATTGCAGCAAATTAAAAGGGGAACCATAAGAGCTGTATTACTAATATAACATTTTCATTTCTAAAATTTGACATCTTACCGAATTAGACTTGTTACCGGTTTTGTACTAACATGAGCAACACGACGGGTGCCACATGTGGAGTAGGATCTGCTTACCCTTCCGGAACACCGGAGATCACCCCCAGTTTTAGTGTGGTTCGTGTTGCTTAGTCTATAGTTTTCTATGTTGTGTTTTGTGTACTACTGTTTGTCGGTTTGTCTTTTTCCTTTTTTAGCCATGGCGTTGTCAGTTTATTTTCGAATTATGAGTTTGAATGTCCCTCTGGTATCTTTCGCCGCTCTTTTACAGGAAATCAAATTGAAAAACATGTGCAAATCTGCATGAAGAATGTTTATTAAAACAATGATAAAAAAAGGAGAGCTGCTATACAAATGGAGATGCAAGACGAATCCACGACAACTAAATCTTCCTTCTTAAAATAGGAGTCCATGTGAAAAATAAACATCACCATCATAAACCTGCAAAAGTTCAGTTTTAGAAATACTATTGAATTCACAAAATTTACACTTGTGGTCCGACAAATTGAATCTTAGAGCAAAATCAATTTTTATTTATACATAGATAACGATAAATGTATCATAATTTTTTTAAATACGCAGCATTGCATCAACAGCCTGATACTCGTAATGTACAAATAACAAAGGATACAAAATTAAAACTATACAAAAATTTCAATATATGTCATTTTCTGAAAAAATAAATCATAATGCTATTTTATTGACATCAATTTTGGCATTACTTGCTCCGCTGTCGCTGGCGTAGAATCCAATCAATAAAAATCCTTCATTATTCAAACATAGACTTACCGGAAGTTGAATTCCAAGATTAGTAACTGTTTGTAACCCAATAAGTTCTCCTTTTGTGTTGAGTGCATGTAGAGAATGGTTATTTTCGTCAGAGACTATAATGATATTTCTCTTTGTGATAGCAACACCCATTGGATTGAATGGTCTGTTTGATGTATTGATACTGCTATGACCTTTGTATATGAATGTTACACCACCAGATCTGTCTAACGCGATTAAACGTCCATCTAAATTTTCAAATAGATCAATTGCATAGATGTTATTATATGAATCCGTGGATATTCTCCAAATATAACTGAAATTTTTTTTACCCTTTTGATCGTATTCAATCATACATTTTCGTATTTTATTTTCACCGAATATAGCAATATGTCTGTTAGGCAATTATTTGACTGGAAATGTAGATCCTTGTTCTCGTAGACCTAGGATTATGTCGTTGTCATTGTTGATATGTATGCACAATATTAGCATTGGTGAAGTGCTAAGAATTGTATTTGTTACACCGTCATTGATAAATATTTCACCTCAGAACCACGGAATTGTCCGTAATAAATTTCCTGCCGAGAGCAAAGTCTGTACATTGTATATCTAATTTCTGTATTTCTTGTATCGATTCTTTCAAAAACCGAATAACGAAAAACTTGTATACTTGTTGATCTACATGGTACGATCAGTAAATTGTGTCATTGACAGAATATTGGATTGTACTGAAAGCAGGAACATCTGACGTATATGTAGATAGTAGTGACGATATCACTGGATGTGAAATTTGTAACGATCCAAGCTGAGTAGACAAAACATTCCTCCTTTCCAATATCTTTTATGGAAATTAAAGTATGTGTTTCGGACAATTTAAATCATGGATGGATACGTTCTTTACAGTTGTCACACATTAACAATTCACAATCCTTACATTTCCATCTTATAACGTTAGGATTGTCACAAAGTTGACAAGGCAAAGGAATTTGTGCTTTTCTGATGGATGAAACCATTACGTTTAAAGCAAATTCCTTAAAGTAAATTGTAATGTATTTATACCTAAAACATATTCTATATTATATCTGAAAAAAAGTATTAACAAAAATACCCCCAAAAAAGTCCAAAAAACCTGACAAATTCATACGCTCTACTATATCAACCAACGGACTGTCATATTCCTGATTTGGTACAGGAATTTTCGGAATAAATGATTGGTTGCATCTGGTTTATAGCTAGCTAAACCTTCCACTTGTATGACGATATTGAACGCGAAATGGGTAAAATATATATATTCTTGCTACCCGTTTATCTAAATAAAAGTCTTCTCAAGAACTAAACACTTCTGTTGAGTAGCCGATGAGACTGTTATAGATTAAATATGGTGTTTCCGTTGGGCCCAGTAGCATAAAGGAAGAGAACATCGTCCTTTTCGTTCAAAGAAGTAGCGGTAACAGAAAGGTGGAATAAGTCGTAATTGAAGACCATGATCTTCTTGAAAAAATTCTTGACCGCTGGTTAACCGAAATGTATGACTTGAGAAACCTTCACAAGTCTGAACAGGAGAGAAGAAATGAAACCAGAGTGTAAACCACAGTCAAAATTCAGAAACATTAACCTTTATGCGATAAAATTGAAAACCAGTCTTAGGCTGTGAATCGTCTATGAACTTGATCGTCTGTGACGTCCTTGAATAACATGCTCGCCATTTTGAATTCTAATTGAGTTCATGCATGTTGTTTCACGTTATATTGTCACTGTACTTTTGGCCTTTTAAATAAAATAAATTTACTAAACAAGTGTCTATTTATACACCAAAATCGATCATAACCAACAACAATAGCAGTATCAATATACCCACACAAAGAGTAGTAGCAGTGGAAATATACTACTCTTGGAGAGGAGCAAGTATACACTTAGCATTAAGGAAATTAAGTGCAGTAGTCCATGTGTCTAAAGGGAAAAGCGCGGGAATACATAGTTGTCTCATCTGAAAGGTAATTAAAGTACGAATGTGCTTACCAAGCACCCAAGTAGACAAAGTCTACAGGCCCATTATCGTATGATAGGAACTCATTTGCTAGACGCTGACTACAGCATTTTGTATAGAAATTAAAATAATGGGAAATAAGTTATATATAAAGACAACAGTAGTATTCCGCTGTTCAATAGTCACAATTCAATTAAGCAAAAACAAATCCGGGTAACAAACTAAAACCGAGGGAAACGCATCAACTATGAGAGGAAAACAACGGAACAACAGAAACACTGAACTACAACAAAAGCAAACGCCAAACATGCATAGAAACGGACTGTCTGATAACAACTGCCATATTCCTGACTTGGTACAGGACATTGTAAGAAAAAAATGGTTGGTTGAATCTGGTTTTTATAGCTAGCCAAACCTCCCACTCATATGTCAATGTTAAAAATACCGCCAAAATGACAACACTACGTGACATGAATATACAGTAAAAACAAACGCAAGAACACTCAGCACAGAGAAATACATAAATAGATAATATAATAGTACACTACAACATGTAAACCGCAGAATAACAACTGACACCTCCCATGAATTTACGTCGGCACACTAGGACACCACAAGCAAAATATAAACTGCGCGTCACATGAATGGATCAACGTCACAAAAAGTGGCGTATTTTTTGTGACGTTTAAATTTTTAAAAATAAAATAGATTTGGTTATTTATATACACATATAACTTCACAAGCAAATAGTAACCCAAAGGCATGCTAACTACTTAAATACACTAAAGCAGAACTCTTATGGCCATGTACAACGATACACTAGACCACAACCGGTTTTGTTTTTGTTTGATGTTTTTCTGCTTTGTATCGATCTGATGAGTTAAGCCTTTTTCAACTGATTTTTATGGTTTGTTTTCATATTGAGCTGTTAAACCACTGTCCAAAGTAAGGGGGAGGGTTGAGTGCTCAACAACATGTTTAACCCCACCGCCACATTCTTTTAGCCTGTGCCAAGTCAGGAGCCTATAGTTCAGTGGTTGTCGATGGTTTATGTGTGTCATATTTGTTTTTAGTAAATTGCTTTGTTATAGATAAGGCCGTTAGTTTTCTCAATTGAATTATTTCATATGTTTCATGTCGGGACCTTTTATAGCTGACTATACGGTATGGGTCTTTAATGTTTTCATGTTTTGTATCGATCTGATGAGTCAAGCCCTTTTCAACTGAAATATATAGTTCGTTCTCATGTTGTACAGCTAAACCACTATCCCAGGTTCGGTGAAGGGTTGGGCACCAGCAAATATGTTAAATTCGCCAAATTCTGTATGTGTCTGTCTTAAGTCAGGTGCCTGTATTTCAGTGGTTGTCAATTGTTGCTGTACATCACATTTGTATTCCGTTAGTTATTGTTTTGTACTTAAAATATACCATTAGTTTTCTCGTTTGAATTGTTTGACATTTGTCATTTTGGGATCTATGCGGTATGGCTTTGCTCATTGTTGAATACCGTACGATGACATAAAGTTTCTAACTGTTACGTCATTTGGTCTCTGGTGTAGAGTTTTCTTAGTGGCAATCATACCACGTCTTCTTATTTTTATACATAGAATAATGTTGAATGAAACCAGGTTATCATTCTTTTTTATTAAAAAGGTAATTTGATTATCGAACTTATGATAGCGAACTGATATTCAAACTCGTAAATTCATTTGGAGCATTCCAACTAAAAGAAGATAATCCTGAACGATTCGCGTGTTTATTCAAACTGAGCTAAACTGAATAGGTCGAAAGGGAAGGCTTATCACACTTTGTATGCGTAATCCGCAATGCAAATCCAAACTAGCACAGATGGCTCAATACAATGTACATGTAGGGGTTATTTGGCTCTGTAAACTCACCAAAAATAACAGATTGCCCGATGTCAATACTATTATTTGTTTTAAACATCAGAAAATAGGCTTTTTCAGAGGATGTGAATATAAGCCGAGCCGTGATGACATAATTCGACTGTGACGTCTTTAAGGTGACATTATTAACGAGAGTTGTCAGATTTTTAGACAATTTAGGCAATCTGTAAGAATAATTTTGCTAAATATACATAGAGCACTAGTTTTGCCCAAAATATTTTTTGCCAGTGAAAAGATAAACAAAAAATATACTTACTCTTTAAATATCTTTTTGGGCGACGGTTGTGCTGTATATTGTTTCTAAGCATGTACAAGTCAAATAGTCTAATAGTCTAGATTTTGAATGACTTCGCCATTATGCTGAATTTTCTGGCTGTAAAACTCATTAAAAGGCATATTTTAAAGCAAAATTGCATTGTTTTATTCAAATGCATATATTCAACAATTAAATTTGAAAATCCGAGAAATTTGGAAATATATTTGAAAAGAAAAAAATCCCAAATATACCGTTACTGGCAATAGCTGAAAGTACCAAAGTACAGTAACTGCTGACATGAAAAATATGAAATGACTCTCATAGAATCTGTCGTAACTCGAAGTAGATTTCATCCATGAACAACAGGAACCGTACAGAACAACAGTATTGTGTGCAGTTTCCTCAAGAAATTATTAAACAAACTTTCAAGAGGGTGTAGATGGGGTCCTTAATTTCTGTATTCTTTAATTTTTATGTCATTTTTCTCTATTCTTTAAATGTTTGCTCTTTATTCTCTATTCTTTATATTATGCACCCCATTATTCTTTATTCTTTATATTATACACCCCATTATTATCTGTTCTTTATATTATACACCCCATTATTCTCTATTCTTTATATTATACACCCCATTATTCTCTATTCTTTATATTATGCACCCCATTATTCTCTATTCTTTATATTATACACCCCATTATTCTCTATTCTTTATATTATGCACCCAATTATTCTCTATTCTTTATATTATGCACCCCATTATTCTCTTTTCTTTATATTATACACCCCATTATTCTCTATTCTTTATATTATACACACCATTATTCTCTATTCTTTATATTATACACCCCATTATTCTCTATTCTTTATATTATGTACCTCATTATTCTCTATTCTTTATATTATGCACCCCATTATTCTCTATTCTTTATTTTGTGTCATATTTTTTAAGGTTAAAACTATGTAAAAAGTTTATTATATGTCATTTTCTAAAGAAATAAATCACAATGTTATTTTCGCGACATGAATTTTGGCAATATTTCCTTCGTTGACGATTGTGTAGCATCCAATCAACAAAAATCCTTCGCTATCTAAGCACAAACTGGCCGGATATGTTACTCCAAGATCTGTTAAGGTTTGTAAGCCAATTATATCTCCTTTTGTATTCAATGCATGTAGAGAATGGTTATCTTTGTCAGAGACTATTATGATATTTGTCTTTGTGACAACAATACCCGATGGATTGAACGGTGTTGGTGATGAATTGACACCACTGTGACCTTCGTATATGAATTTAACGCCACCAGATCTCTCTAACGCGACTAAACGCCCATTTAAATTTTCAAATAAATCAATTGCATAGATGTTGTTATATAAATCAGTGGATATTCTCCAGATATAACTAAACAATTTTTTACTCTTTTGATCATACTCAATTAATAATTTCCGTTTTTTGGATTCACCGAATACAGCAATTTGTCTGGTAGAGACATCTGTTACTGGAAATGGACACCCTTGTTCTCTTAGACCTAGGATAATCTCGTTGTCTTTATTGATATGCAGACCCAATATAATCATTGGTGAAGTGCTAAGAACTTTTTTTGTGCCACCGTCATTTGATAAAACTTTCAACTCTGAACCATGGAAATTTCCGTAATATATTTCATCTTTTTTGCCGAGTGCAAAATCTGTACATTTTATATCTAATGTCTGCAATAGTTTTATTGATTCTTTCAATAATCGAATAATGAAAAACTTATATCCATTCTCTTCTGTATTGTACGAGCAGTAGATTGTGTCATTGCCAGAATATTGAATTTTACTGAAATCAGGAACATCTGACGTATACGTAGATATGGGTGACGATATCACTGGTTGTAAAATTTGTAACGATCCAAACTGAGCTGAAATAGCAACTTCCTCCTTTCCATTATCTTTTATGGAAACTATATCATGTGTTTCGGACAATTTAAATCTGGGATGGATACGTTCTTTACAGTTTTCACACATTTACAATTCACAGTCCTTACACTTCCGTTTAATAACGTTAGGATTGTCACAAAGCTGACAAGACAATGGCAACTGTGCTTTCGTGATGGATGAAGCCATTTCGTTTAAAATTAATTCCTAAAGAAATAATCGATAACGCATTTTAAAAATATAAAAACAAAATTGAGCAAGATTAAAGAGACATGCATACAAAAGTTAATAAATATTTGATGAATACGATTGGTTTAGACGCAAAAATACAAAGCCAATGACCCGTCCTTATGCAAGCAATCGCTGCTTACTAGTTAGAATATCAATTGCATAACCTAACACGAAGGATAAAACATCAGAAAAATATCGTTTTTCTCTTTTAAATGAGAGGGAAAATCGGTTGATACAAACTGCTAGACGCCTAAAACAATATTCCATTTGAGAAAACAAATCATTGGCAGATATAATACATCCATGTGTATTGGCGGAAAGTTCACCCTTTGAATGCATAAAGAAGATTCCAGAATTGAAATTACAACATATTTTTGGTTATAAAGACATTAAATCGGACCTTTTGTAGTAGGCAATATATATTATTGATATTCGACCCTCTTCCAAATTGATTTATTAACAATGGATGAACTAAACAAGAGAAGTCTTGATTGTGTACTCCAATAATGATTAAAAGTTAAGATATAGTTAAAAAGATGTTGTTGTGCCATATGCATTGCGATATTTTACAATCACATATGTGTACTTACAAAAGTTAACCACAAGTACTTTTATGATAATTTGTATGCATATATTATGCGTTGTCCTAATTGATATTGAGTGCCACGATATGGTGATGTATAATTTTTATGGACAACCCTATTTTCAGGCTAAAGGTGCTGAAATGTGAGTATGATAACAAAATTTTCGTAGAACCCGTGAATTTGAGGTTAAATGTCGAATACTAAGTTTTACAAATATTGTATTAATTTCTGTTTTTGGATTAGATAAATAATATTAACGTTATATAAATAACCACAAATTAGGGTGTTTGTGTCACACTAGTCAGTAGTATATTGTTTAAGAACTTGAAATGACGATATGTTATAATAAAATAACGTCAAATTAAAATCAGATAGTTTTGCTACCATTTTTTTAATGTTAGCACAACTATCATTGAACAAATTTTTCGAGCAAAATATACAGAGTTAATATATAACTTAGCATATACATGTAGATACTTTAAGATGATCATAAACTCATAAGTAAATATGTCCCAAAACGAAATAATGCTGCATCCCTTTTGAGTAAATGGGTACAAAATGATCCGATCTACATCTAAGTCCAGACATTCTCTGAATAGATATATTATTCTCAAGTAAAAAGTTAAATCACAAAAATACTGAACTCCGAGGAAAATTCAAAACGGAAAGTCCCAAATCAAATGGCAAAATCAAAAGCACAAATAAATGATGATTTATACAGAAACAGCAGATTGGTAAATGCGAGAAGATTTTTGCTGACTGAACGTCCAGGTACATGCAACTTTTGGAAAGTAAGCTAAAGCTTTGTAAAATACAATTAGGCGTGTAAGGTAAGTGAAATTTGATTTATTGATAAACTAAGCAAAACAATTCAGAAAATGGACATAATAGAAATATGGAGTTAAGTAGGCCAAACAAAACAACATAATAATAAAATAAAACAAAATATGAATTTGAAATTAAATAGAAAATAAAATTTAAAATATTAAGGTTTCTTATTGATTGCTATATTCTAAATGATTTTTTATCACATATATTTTTTTTTGGACAAAATTTAAATACGAGTGACGTGACGTAAAAGAAATTTGGACAATTTAAATTTGAGTCAAACGACATTTACTTAAAAAGGTTTAGAAAAACGCTAAAAAATTCCAAAGATCTTTTAGAGTACATACAATCTAAGACTCTTTCATCTTTCAATAGTATTAAAACATTTGACTTTTCTACACTTTACACAAGTATTCCCCATACCAAACTAAACGACAAATTGAAAGAGTTGGTCCTGCTGTTTCATAAAAAAGAATGGTCAACGTAGATACAAGTATCTTGTCTTAGGGAGGGATAAATCGTACTTTGTAAAAAATCACTCTGATTTAAACAAAAAATTCTCTGAAACCGACATTATCCAGATGCTTAATTTCTTGATTGACAACATATTTGTTTCGTTTGAAGGACGTGTTTTTCAACAAACAGTCGGCATTCCCATGGGAACCAACTGTGTCCCTCTTCTTGCGGACTTGTTCCTTTATTTATATAAGCCTGACTTCATACAAGAACTTCTTAGGAAGAAAGAACAGAAGTTAGCAGTATCCTTTAACTTTACTTTCCGCTATATAGATGATGTTATGTCACTAAATAATTCAAAATTTGGTGACTATGTTGAACGCATCTATCCCATCGAACTTGAGATAAAGGATACAACAGATACAGTATAGTCTGCCTAATATATTGTCTTACATCTAGATATTGACGATGAGGGTCGGTTGTAAACAAAAACTTTAAGACAAAAGAGATGATTTCAGCTTCCCAATTGTGAACTTTCCATTTCTATGTAGCAACATTCCAAAAGCGCCTGCATACGGAGTATATATCTCCCAGTTGATACGATATTCCAGGGCTTGTATTTCCTATCATGATTTCCTTGATAGAGGGTTGCTGCTCACAAGGAAGCTATTAAACCAACAGTTCCAAGTGGTGAAGTTGAAATCATCCCTTCGTAAATTTTACGAACGCCATCACGGGTTGGTTGACCGTTATGTAATATCCGTTTCACAGATGATAGCGGATATGATCAAAATGTCGTAACTACAATTCCGTTCCTGTTTCTCGATTGTGACCTACCGATTTAGACTTATAACCGGACTACTAACACGAGCAACACAACGAGTGCCACATGTAGAGCAGGATCTGCTTACCCTTCCGGAGCACCTGAGATCACCCCCAGTTTTGGCGAGGTTCGTGTTGCTCAGTCTTTAGTTTTCTATGTTGTGTTTTGTGTACTACTGTTTGTCTGTTTGTCTTTTTCTTTTTTAACCATGGCGTATTCAGTTTATTTTCGATTTGTGAGTTTGAATGTCCCTTTGGTATCTTTGGCCTTTCCTTTAAAGACAAAATAGACGAACATTCTCTATCGAAAAATTAGTTACTGGGATTGTTTCGTGCGATATATACATGTTAATCATTCAAATACCTCAATGTGGGAAAATGCAAATGACTCATAGAGTTTATTTCATATTAAATAAAGTTATGCCGATTGATTTGTTTTACATAATGATTTGACATATAAAACAAAGACCAGGACAAGATAATGTTCCACAAATGACATCAGTTGCCTCCAAAGAACAAGGATAAAAAATAGTAAGTTAATAATAAAAGAAAGCAATCCTTTCGTATGTTCTGTTTTTATTTATAATACCCTCATCGAAGTCAAATGCACCATACGGGTTGACTGGGGTTTCGGAATGTTGTGATATGTGTACCCCTGCCTCCTGGCAGTAAAAGCCTAGCAAAAGAACACCCGTTTGTATGGCTGTAAGAAGCATGAAAACACAGCCATGTCCGGTAGAAATATGAACGTTATATTATCTGGTATGAGTAGTGCTGCATTCTATGTACCTTAAAAATCCGTTGCAATTTTTCTCTGAGGGGTCTGTATGTAGCCTGTTATAAGTCAAAAGTTTTGCCCTTTTGAACAATTTTCAAATTGCAGTTCAAATTACCGCCAATCATACAGTCAGACCAAATTGTGCATTAATCGCCGATAATTTGTTCTCATTCTGAAAATGCATGAAGTTATTGCCCATTAGCGTTTAGCAAGCCACAAGCAATCAACAATTAGTCGCTGAAAATGAATGATTAAATTATATTTTTACAGTTATATGATGTAGAAGAAAACCGTGCAAAACGGCACATACGTATATCAGGTAAATGACATAAATAAAGGCAACAGTAGTATACCGCTGTTCGAAACTCATAAATCGATAGAGATAAAAACAAATCTGGGTTACAAACTAAAACTGAGGGAAACGCATCAAATATAAGAGGAGAACAACGACACAACAAAAACACAACATTAATGTAACACACACAGAAACGAACTATAATATAACAATGGCCATTTTCCTGACTTGGTACAGGACATTTTAAGAAAAAAATGGTGGGTTGAACCTGGTTTTGTGGTTTTACATAAGTAATAAATGACATTTTAAGAAATGGTTGCCTACTTTTATCAGGAAAATTGACATATTCATTATGCATCAACGACAAAACAATACCACATTATGAAAATCAAATAACATACAAAGAAGGGGGATACTATGAATACATTATTCAAATTGCAGACAGATCTATGGCTATGAGAAAACAAATAATGTCTGAGTGATTTTTGTTTAGAGTTCACATTTTTTTTTTGATTCTTGCAGTTTGGCACTAGTTGTTTTTTGTGAAACATTTACCAATAAAAGCCTTCACTTTCCCAGTATAAACTGATTGAAATGTATGTTCAAATCTGTTTTACTGTTTGTACTGCAACTTCTTAAGTATAAAACGTATTTGTCGCCGATTATTATCTAATTATTTCTTTCAATAGCAATACCACTTGGACGGAAAATGTTTGCAATGTTATTATAACTATTTGTTTAATGTTGAATGTATGCATTTAAATAAAAACAATGCTGTTTTGCTTTAAAGTACAAATCTTTTAAAGAGTTATAAGGCAGTGAAATGTCAGAAAATTCAATATAACGTTCGGAAAATCTTGAACATTTGACTTGTACATACTTAGAAATAATATAGAGTACAATCGTATTTGAAACAAATGTTAATCAAATTTTATCAGAAAAATACCTGAATCGTCTACGTCAAGTCCTTGTTGAAGCAGTTTCGTCAATAACGTCTCACATGAACATGTCTGTCCTTTTTATGGGTATCCTATCAGGATTTAAGGGCCAAGTTTGTCTGGAATCGTACCCACCTTATAAAGCAGAGGTAGACAATCATAATCATACCGTTACTGCCAATAGCTAAAAGTACCAAAATACAGTTGCTGCTGACAAAAACAATTATGAGTTGACTCTTATAGTATAAATTGTTACACTAAGTATTTATGTATTCTTTAATTTTTATGTCATTTTTCTCTATTCTTTATGTTTGTTGTCCTTTATTCTATGTACTTTATATTTGGCACTCCATTATTTTCTATTCTTTAATTTTTTGCAATGTTTTGGTCTATTTTTATGAAGATTTAGCCTATTATTCTCTATTCTGTAAACCCCATGAAGACCCTCTTTCAATACATGACAGAAAATAAATGTTACATATATATCAGTCTTCTTTCATACTCTACATGTATTACACGGTATAAGGTAATCATATTTTACCAACACAACAAAATACATAACACCAAAATTCAAAACAACTGTATGATTGTAACTCGTTTTTAGCAAAAAAAGAATGCTTATAACTGTTAGCCGTAGTAACCTTTGTCTTTAGTTTAAGTTAATCAAACAGAATAAATCCAAATGAATAACTTTGACTTGTAGTTATCATAGAATTAAAACAGTTATATATAGTAAGCATCAACGAGAAAGCAACCCGACACATTAAGTTCTGTTGAAGAAATCAAATAAAATTATATAGATACAGTACTCACTGTGACTTAAATGAATACTTCAATGCCACATTTGTGACTTAAATGAATACTCCAAAGACACATTTACTTAGTCTAAGTGACATACAACTAACGTCGTCTCCGATAACTAGCATGGCTGCCTTAAATAGTTTTCTGCCATTAAAATCAATATATGACAAACATTTTGATATTCAAAAGGTAGGTATTTTAAATGACACCAGGTATTCAGTATTTTGATTCGGTTGACATATTCTTACTTTAACAAGTGGTTATTTCGAAATATTAAGGATTTTCTACCCCAGGAATAGATCATCTGAGCTTCATTTGGCGAAACCTTATGGAATATTGGTCCTCTATGCTCTATAACTTTGTACTTTATTTTGCGCTTTATCATATTTGAATCGATGTTCCACTGATGAGTCTTGTGTAGACGATACACTCGTCTGGCGTACAGAATTCTTAGCCTGGTAGCTTTGATGAGGTTATTTACTACTTTAAACATATAAGAAAAATAAACAACTGTCATTCAACTGAGAGGTTAAGCTAGCTATATATAAAACCAGGTTTAACCCACCATTTTCTTCGAAAAATGTCTTTACCAAGTCAAGAATATGGCAGTTTTTTTGCTTGTTTCGTTGAATGATAGTGTTTGATTTAGTCAGTTTTTATGGACTTCCCCTTTTTGAATTTGCCTTGGAGTTCGGTATTTTTGTTATACTTTTGTACGTCAACACGACATATCATAATCAAGAAATCACATAAGAGAATGTCAAGCTCACTATTTTCCAGACATTGCGTACAAACTCAAAGACAAAATAGCTCTTAGTACAGCCTGTAACAAGGTTACAAGATCACGAAAGAGTGGTTGAATTAAACTTGTTAGCTTCTCTGCAGTTTAGCCCTTAAAAGTAGTCTTTTACTTATATTTTACGTAGCATCTGTACACAGATGTAGCATGACTGAAATCTATCAAATATTTCTACTAAAACCGCTGTGCAGACCAATGCAAAACTTGAAATTATGTGTGAGCTTTTACTATGTGTACAGTGTCTAAATGGTTTTATTTTAATATGAAAAACAGCAATCATAGGATGTTCCTTGTCTTTCGGTTTATTAAATTTGTGTAGGTTTCTTCCAATATGAATAAAAGTTCATATCTCAATTCTTTTCTATAACGTATAGCAATCTCAAATAATTTTTGTGTGTACTTTTCCTTTTTTTTATTCAAGGTTCCTGTAATTTATCACCATTATTTTATGATGTGAAGGAAATTTGAATTGCGAGTCTAAAAACAGATTTATTGATCAAAATTTCAAAATTGAAATCTAATTTTTGTTTGCCTGTCCATAGACAGTACTATTACCAAAAAATAAACAAAATAAAAGAATTGGCATTACTGATTTTACATTTCCTTTTCTTCAATTTTACCACAAAAATTAAATTCAAAGTTTGAAAATATATGCAAATCTGTAAGAAGAAAGTTTATTAAAAACAAGGAATGAAAACATATAGCTGCTATAACAGACGTAAATGAAAGACAAATAAGATACAACTATAAAGTATAAAAAGTAAAATAACAAAAATACTGAACTCCGAGGAATATTCAAAACGAAAAGTCCGTAGTCAAATGGAAAAATAAAAAACTGAAACACATCAAATGAATGGATAACAACTTTTATATTCCTTACTTGGTACAGGAATTTTTGGTCTGAACATGGGTATTCTTTTTGTAAAATATAATACACCATTAAAGATTCGCAAGCGTTATGGTGGTTCTGTAAAATGAGATAAGTATTACCATATTTACATTGGTGGTCCGACAACTGGAACTTTTAAGCAAAATTCTAAATTCAGACACTTAAATGTGAATTCACTCAAACATAGTAAAAGAACAATGAATCATAACAACTGGAAACGCAAAATAGGGCACACCTTTTGATGCTACATTCCTCTCTTTATTTACAAATAACAAAGGATACACAGTTTAACCAATGCAACACAGTTCGTTAACTGTTATTTTCTAAAGACCCAAATCACAACACTATTTTGGCGACGTGTATTTTGGAAGTTCTACTTTCAATGTAAGAGTTACATCCAATTAAAAAAAAACCTTCACTATTCAAACATAGACTCGTAGGAAGATTTACTCCAAGATCTTTTGCAGTTTGTAAGACAACCAATTCTCCTTTTGTATTCAACGCATGAATTGAATGGTTATATTGGTCGGAGACTATTATGATATGTGTCTTTATGATTACAACACCCGTTGGATTGGATGGTGTTTATGATGTATTGATACTACTGTGACCTTTGTAAATGAATTTTTCACTGCCCGGTGTTTTAATGCAACTATTTAAAATGGTCAATTGCATAAATGTTATTGTCGTAATCGGTGGTTATTCGCCAGACATAACTAAACAACTTTTCATCATAATTTTAATCGTACTCAATGGATAATTTTCTTTAGTTGTTTACATCGAAAACGGCAATTAGTCTGGTAGAGAATTCTCTGACTGGGAATGTAGACCCTTGATCGCGTAGACCTAGAATTATCCTGTTGTCTTTATTAATTTGAATGCACAATAAAATCATTGGTGAAATGCTAACAGATGTATTTGTTACACCGTCATTTGATAAAACCTTCACCTCTGAATCACGGAATTGTCCGTAGTATATTTCATTTTTACAGCCGAGAGCAAAATCTACGCATTGTTTATCTAATTTCTGTATTATTTTTATTGATTCTTTCAATAACCGAATAACGAAAAATTTGTATACTTGATCTACATGGTACGAGCATTAAATTGTTTCATTGCCAGAATATTGGATTTTACTGAAAGCAGGAACATCTGAGATATATGTAGATAGTAGTGTCGGTATCACCGGATGTGAAATTTGTAAAATGATTCAAGCTGAGTAGACATATCACTTTCCTTCTTTCCAACATCTTTTATGGAAATTATAGTATGTGTTTCGGACAATTTAAATCTGGGATGGATACGTTCTTTACAGTTGTCACATATTCACAATTCACAATCCTTACATATCCATTTTTAACGTTAGGATTGTCACAAAGCTGACAAGGCAAAGGAATTTGTGCTTTTCTGATGGATGAAGCCATAACGTTCAAGAAAACTCCTAAAAGTAAATTGCAATGTATGTATACCTAAAACATATTTTATATTATATTTGAAAAAAAGTATTTACAAAAATACCGAACTCCAAGGTAAATTCAAATGGAGGTAAGTCCATAAAACCTGACAAATTCTTACGCACAATATCAACTAACGAAACGAACGGAAAACGTCTGTCATATTCCTGACTTGGTAGAGGCATTTTTCAAAGAAAATGGTGGGTTAAACCTGGTTTATAGGTAGCTAAACCTTCCACTTGTATGACGATATTGAAGTTTTACGCGAAATGGTTAAAATATATATATTCTTGCTACCCGTATATCTTAATAAAAATCTTCTCATTGAAATTTACCCTTCTGTTGAGTAGCTGAAAAGACTAGTAGATGACATATGGTGTTACCGTTGGCTCCCGTAGCACCAAAGAAGAGAGCATCGTCAAATTTTGTTTGGAAAATTAGCAGTAACAGAAAGAAGGAATAAGCCGTATTTGAAGACCATGATCTTCTTGACAAAATTCTTGACCGCTGTTTAACTGAAATGTATCACTTGAAGAATCCTTCACATGTACGAACAGCAGAGAAGAAATGAGAACCGAGTGTAAACCTCATGCATAATAAATTTCAGAAACAATAACCTTTATGAAATAAAATTGAAAACCCGTCTTCGGCTGAGAATCGTCTCTGAACTTGATCGTCTGTGACGTCTTGGAAGGAACTGTTCGCCATTTTGAATCCTAATTGAGTTCATGCATGGGTTGTCACGTAATATTCTCACTACATTTTTGGTCTTTCTTATAAAACATATTTACTAAACAAGTGTCTATTCATACATTAAAATCGATCATAACCAACAACAATAGCAGTAACAATATACCCATCCATAGAGTAGTAGCAGTGGAAATATACTACTCTTGGGGAGGAGCAGCATAATTCCAGTCATGTTAACAAACACGGCCACGAGTTTTCTTCCAAGTCACAAGCAATTGTGAGTGACGGATACGCGTGTAAACAACTAGAAATGAGAACAATCAAGATCCTTGCTAAAGCAAGCAGTGTACAGTTATCATTCATGAAATCAAGTGCAGTAGTATATGTGAAAGAGAAAAACGCGGGAATACAGAGTTATCACATCTGAAGGGCAATTATAGTACGAATGTGCTTCTCAGGCACCCAAGTAAACAAAGTCTACAGGCCCATTATCATATGATAGGAACTTGATTCCAAGACGCTGACTACAGCATGCAATATATGATTAAAAAAAAATAATCAGAAATAAGTTATATAACTTCACTAGCAAATAGTTACCCCAAGGCATGCATGCTGATCGGTGTGAGCCAAGGCTTCGTGCTGAAGGCCGTACTTTAACTTATAATTGTTTACTTTTTACACATTGCGACTTGGATGGAGAGTTGTCTCATTGGCACTCATACCACATCTTCTTATATCTAAGTATAGACTAAAGCGGAACCCGTATGATCATAAAAACGTCAATCCAGACCATATATAGAAAGAAAGAAGATTTTCTTTACAATATGTACATGATGCACACAAATAGGATTTAAAAGGGCAAAAATTTCATATGTGACGTCATAGACGAAAATGCTTCGAAATAATCAGTCCATAAAAACAGCAGATTTTAACAAGGACCTGATGCAGACGGATCCAAAGCAGTGTATAAAACCAGTACATAGAACAATGTTAAAAAACAGGCTAAAGTTATTATTCTTAAAAAAAGTTCTTTTACTTACCATAATATGGAACTGATGTTCAAACTCGTAAATTCATTTGTAACATTCCAACAAATTTGTCAGAATTTAAGCCAAAATAGGTTAACAATAAGAACATTTTGGTCAAAATAACATTATACCGAATTTGTTGACATTTCAAGGCTTTATAACTCGTGAAATGGATGTATTTTAAAGTAAAACAGCATTATTTCATTAAAGTGCATACATTCAACATTTAATTCTGAACATACGGGATAGAACGTTTGAAATATATTTGAAATAAGGGCCAAGTTTGCCCCAAATCGTACGTCAGTATATAGGCTAATCAAATT